CACAAATAGGTTGATATTATATATCTTGTACAATGTTCATCCATACCATAATAAAGAAAGCAACATTCATGCATCACAATCGATCCAAACATATAAAACAAGTCATCCACTGCAAAATTTCAATCACGATGTTATGAATACAGTTCATACAAATTAAAATGTTCAAATATTGAGTCTTTAGCGAACTAAATTAAGAAAACTATAACTGGCTAGTACAATCTGCTGATTGAAATCCAATATTGGTCTCCAATTAAATCAAAGTTGGGGGCTTGGGGCTTGAATATTCATATCTTCATAATCACCTGTATGTTACATGTTATATGTTTGACAAAGGCTCTTTTTTTTTTTTTTGTTTCAAATCATATGGAGTTCTCCAATCACTCTCCTCTTGATCCTAATATATAGTGAATCAACTAATGCTATGTGTGTATAATTCTAAGTAGTACTGGAACCACCTCCATCAACATCAAGTTTTTTTCATTTATTATAACTGTATAGACATGAATATATGTGATTGAAGGTTATTTTACATGCTATGGTGAATTGATCAGACCTCTTGCATCGTTTCCCAGTTGCAGTTTTAGCTTCTCTATATTTATAATGGGAGTTGTGAAGTAAGAGTAGAAACAAAATAGGACGTCATACAAAATAAATCAAAATCTTTCACACTAAATGGTTTAAACATTTTTGTGTAACTATAGATCAAAGTGGCTACTTGGGCCCATGCATTACTTGGAGCCTTGTGAATTAATATACTTTATACAGGTTTAATAAGATATTCATCGGAATGATATTGCTTTTGAAGTTAATATAGATGATTATGTATGTTCATAAAAGTACTTATTTAATAAGGATAAAATAATATTTTTATTTTAAAATTTATTGATATAGAAATCTTTAAAAATTTTAATGAATTATGACATTTTAAAAGATCAGATTGTCATTTATATAATTTAAAAGAATTTTGTTATATTTTTTTAACATTTTTTGTTGAAAAAATTAATATTTTTAATTTAATCAATTTTTTATGATTCAAAAGATTAAAAATAAAAACAAAAGGTTAAGCATCACGCCTTATTCGCGAGGAATTACTGAATCATAATCCGACAAGTGCATATATATTAATACGTTGATTCATTATTAATCTCTTTTCGTTTTTTAATTAAAATTATGTTTTCACCTTTTTCCCTATTATTGTTTTCCCACGTTTCTCCTGCACACACCCGAAGGCCGAAGGTGTGAATGAATTTGAATTTTTCAACAGATTTCAAGCTTCCACTGCTGCTAGGCATTCTTTGTGATTATGACATAAGGCCTACAGATTTGACTCATACAGAGATATATGAATTTAAAAATTGGTTAGGTATGGTTTGTTATCTAAAAATTGGTTAACAAGTCAAATAAATACGAAGAGACAAATTTTATTTCTTTATCATATAAAAGACCAAAATATTATTTAAACCTAACTGGGATGAATACCATATCACTATTATTGCTTTCAACAACACCGGTAATTATCTCAAAAATATCATATTTAATTTTTTAATAATATTTTATTAAAATACATTACAATAAAATAGCACATTTTTATGGAAATTATTCTAAGATAAAACATAAAAAACCAAGAAAAAAGTGATTTTTCTCAATTTTTTGTCAAAAAAATTGAGTAAAAATTTGTAGGAAAAATTTTTTCTCTTGAAATGTTCTGAAAGAAACAATTTCTTTTGGAATAATCAAAGGGAACATTTTTCTTACGGACTAATCTAAAAGAACTTCTCTCAAAATTAGTGGAGAGAAGTATTTTTTTAGAAATTTTTGTGAGAACTTTCTCTCATAACATTTTTAACAGATATTTTTTTACGGAATATATCAAAAAAATTTTATGAGAAATTTATTGAATAAATATTAAATTTCATTGTGTCCAATCCCCTTTCATGTGTGAGCTACATCGTGCATGTTTTTCACCATATGAGTCTCCACATCATATCACATCACTTACCATACGTGTGCTACGTCATGGTTGTAGTAAATTTGATTTATCTTGGAGAAAAACTCATGACCTTAGGTTCACCTTTAGAGCCTACCATATTGCTGATTAAGCTGCAATAAATTTGATGTCTTAAATATAAAAAATTAAATATATACTACCAAACTATAGGAGTACATTTATATAAAGTTTATGTTATTTTATTTAAAAAATTAATATATAATATAGCATTTTTTGAATGATTTTAATTTATTTGAATTTAAAAAATAATTCCGAAATTTTTTATAACTTAATCGATAAATTTATAATATTATTTAATTTAGCATGATTCAAAATTAAATTATATCAATTTTTAAATATTTTAATTTATATACTTTATTTTTAATTTTATATTTTTAAATTTTAATTTGTTTAATATTTTAAAAATATTTTTATAAAATTATTTAATATAATTTCTAATTATGATTAAATTTTATGTTTTAAGAAAAACACTTTTAATAGTAACAATTAATTATCACAAAAGGGATAACAATAATTTTTTTACTCAATAAGTGGCCAAAACATTTTCCACAGAAAAAAGAAAAAAAATTATCTAGCAAGCCAATAAAAATGTGAACAAAGCAATATACTTGCACACTATTCTTGAAGTCAACAAGATTATAACTTAATTTTGTTTTTAGAGTCATTTAATTTTATATATTTTAAAACTAAATAAGTTATATTATACATATTTGTGAATATTGTATTTTGTCTAGGTATTTTTTAATCAAAATAATAATAAAATCAACCGAAAAATGAAATTTTAATAACATAGATAAAATAAAAAAATTTAATTAATAGGTTTAATATTATAATCTGTTGATTAGGATTTTATTTTTTAATTCATTAAAAATAACCAAAAATATAAAAATTAAAAAAATAAAATTTAATCCTTTTTAGGATTATACTTTCAAATAATAATAATAATAATAATAATAAAATAAAGAAGATAAATAAATTTCATCTTTCTTCAGAATCAATTTTGAAGAAAAGAATCTTGCTTAAATCTTAAAAAATCTCTCCCAAACTGTCTCAACAATTCAAATATTAGGAGAATTAATTTTTTTTAGAGTTCATTTTTTTCCTTAAATCTTGTTTTTTTTTTTTCAATAAAAACGGGATATTCTTGCTTAACTTAAAATCAGATTTTTCTCTCTTAATCTGATTTACAAAATTGTGATTAACGTAACATGAAATAAAAAAAAAAAGCATTAAAAAAAAGGCATTAAGAATTTAAAAAAAGCATTAAGCATCTAGCCACATGCATACGAAGAAAGCAAGCAGAGCAAAAATTTCACCCATAGCCTAAAAACATTCAACCAGCAGAGAAAAAGAGAGAAACGTAAAGAGCAACCCTAAAGGGTGTTCCTTCGGTTTAAAGTAGAGCACAGCTGAAAATGTAGAGAGAACAGCAAAATCAAGAAGAGCAGAGGCACACGTGAGTAGAAGAAAGGAGGAGAAGACGTGCACGGCAATCCCTAGCTTTAGTGAAAATGCAGCTCTTCTGGTACTTTGAACAGAGAAGAGTACAAATGAAACATATAAAAACGCAAAAAAAAAAAAGGAAAGAGAGCATAGAGTAAAGGCATGCATAGAAGACTCGACCACACATGCAAAAAAAAAGAGAGCAGAGAGAGCAGACTTGGCCACACACAGCAAACGAAAACACAGAAGAGACCAGATGTAAACGATTGAAAAAAAAGGAGAAGAGAAAAAAGCGAGAAAAATAATGCATAAAGGCAGCACGCACACATGCAGAAAAGAGGAGAGATGCACGTAGAAGAAGGCAGACGTCGATGAAAGTAGAAAAAGAGGTGGGTGTGTGCTAAAGGAAGAAGATTGGATTTGCTTGGAGGAGGAGGAAGAAAAGAAAAGGAGAGAGAGAGCAATGGTAGAGATAGAAGAAGGGCGAACTAGGAGAGAGGACTGGCTGTAGGAGACAGTGAAGTGGGAGAGACGAACGAACGAGAGAGATGAGGCATTAAGAGCATCCCACGACATTGCTTAGAAGGTGAAGCAAAGGAGTCTCAACCCATGAGTCTCCTAACCTCATCGACGATATAGAACTATCGTTTGAGAGAGTTAGTAAAGCAATGACAGTTCTTTCAAGCTCTCACTCTCTACCGCCACATGCTTTTCTCTAATACACTCGAGTTCTTTTGCCAAATGAGGAAGGAGGAGTTGAAGCTTGTAGTAGGTGCGGAGAGTCAGAGAGGGACTGAAAAAAAACAGAAGATGGCTTAGCTCAAGGGACACAGGCGAAACATGCCAAAGAGTGTTGATTCTCAATCTATTCTCTGAAGGTTGTAGTCTAAATTGATGGCTTTGATGATAAGATTTCTCTCTAAGATCTCTTTGCTCACAAAACTTGTTAGTTGTTAATTCATTCCATAAACTCTTAAGCATAGTCTGCTTCAGATATCAGTGATCAATATGTTTAATCTCGGAACTAGGGAAGAATAGAGGACTATGTGCAAGCAAATTTATTACTTTGTTCAGATTCATGCACCGCTTAATATTTGAGATTAAAGCCAATTAACATACAAATAGAACTTTTTTTTATAATCTGGTTTGGGCATTGTACTATCATAATTTTTTGGCTCTAAAAGTGTGAAGAAATTGCTTTGTTTGTTTTTAAAAAAAGGATTTCAAATAAAGATATTTCCTACTATACTAATTTGTTCAAATAAAGTTCAAACTGATTGTTAGCATATTTCTATCTTGTTTTGGTCAAGGACAGTGAAGAAATTGATGTGGTATTTGTTTAAAAAGAGAGACTCACAACAACATTTTATGTTTGTGGTCATAATTTGTTGGAATTGACTTTTAGATATATTCCTGCCACGGTTTAGTCTCAAACAGGGAAGGAAAATTATTGTGACTATTAGGCTAGGTTTTTAAATTAGACTTTAAATATGTTTTTAGCATGAAAAGGCATGCAGATAGATAGTGGCTTGGCTTTGATCCTTATACCAACAGAAGCCCTTTATCTATTTGTAATATTTCAACATGATTCTCTATATTCTTTATTTATTTGCATGCTCATTATGTCAGCATTGGAAAGAAGTTCCATTTTTTTAATGAATTTTGAATTGAAATGAGAGTGTATATTTGTTTTTTCTTATTTCTTGTAATGAGACCCACCTAATTCAATGTGTTTTGATCAAGCATGGAGAGCATGATTAGATGCCATTGCCGCCATGCTTATGTTATCACACCAAGCAACTGAAGGTTATTTCAAATGAAGTTCAATCGCACCTGTAAATGATTGAAGGTCTGTGAGCTCGGCTGTAAGATTAGATAGAGCCATGTATTTAGACTCCATACTCGATTGTGGACAACTCATTTATTTGTTGACACAAATAAATACTAGTGAATCACCCAAGTAAACACAATAACCACTGATTGATCTTCTATTATCAGGGCATATAGCCCAATCAACATTTGAGAAGCCTTACAAAGTGAGATGGTTGCTTGGTTAATTGATGTGCAAAGGCACATTTGAGGTTCCTCTGAGGTAATGAAAAGTTCACGTTAAAGCTTTCTAGTGAACATTAATTAGAGCATTCAATTAGAAATGACTTAATTTAGTTATGGCAAAGGTTATATCTAGTCTAGTTGTAACCAAATATTGAAGGGAACCAATCACTTGTTGGTAATTAAACAGTAGGATTCCTCATGACAATCCTTTTATCCTTTGAGAAATATTTATTCACCACTATATGAGTAGGAAGATCTGAACACTAACTCATACCAAAACATCTCACTAAATTTTTAGTATACCACTCTTGTTTGATAGAGTCTAGTTTGATCTATGTGTGCTTCAATGCTAAAAAAGTAATTGAGCTAGCTGAGATCTTTCATAGCAAATATAGAAATGAGATTCTTTAAAAAAGGCTCTTAGATAGGTTAGGTTTTTCTCTCTAATAGGAATAGTGATCATGAAGTTTTCAACATGGAAGTTAGCTTCCATTAGAAACAACCGCTAATTTATCCCCCAGGGGACATGAATGCTGATGGATTGAAAAATAAGAAGGTAAAAGCTTTAGGATCAAGGTTCTCAGACCCCATGCTCCTTGAGAGTAAGGACTTTATTGCCCAAACCTAAAGTACTTTGAATGAAGAAGTAGAGAAGATCATGAACTTATGTGGTGATCAAGCTACGAAGGATGCGGAGATGAAATTTGCAACAAACCTACTACCATAATCAAAGCCAATGTCATGCATGGCATCTTTGCTAGGTTTAACAGAGTTGCAAATGGTGACATGGTTATGGAAATAGATGATCTTCTGCAAGAATGTGATAAGATCCTGTGGAAGTTTCCTAAGCCATCAAATGAAATTAAGGAACTGATGAAGATTTACCTTGTGGTCCCAGTTACTGAGGAGGAATTCCAAGATTGGAGTAGACTGTGCAATCAAGTACTTGTTATCATAGTATTGGGTAAACATCCTAGATTCAGTGATTTTTTAAAAAAGGCTAAGTAGAATTTAAGGAATTCCTAAGTTTGAATTGATTAACTTATGTAACAATTACTATATGGTTAGATTCATAGATTTGAGCTTAGCAAAAGCACAATATCGACATGTTCTCTTTATTGGCCTATGGGTAGTCATGCAACATTGTGTTTTGGTTCAGAGATGGTCTCCTTATTTCGATCCATTCAAAACTCCATTGGGGCGAATTGTAGTATGGGTCCGTATACCTAACATACCAATGTATTGTTATAACAAGTGCTTCATTTGGAGATTGGGAGAGAGGATTAGGAAACCAATAAAGATTGATATGTGCACCCTTGCAGATACATCTAAGAAGACATCCTCTATTGAAAGGGGGAGATAATTTGTGTGGAACTAGATTTACAAAAAAAGCTTATGCCTTGTGTCATCACAGCTTGCTTAGTTTTTAACATAGAATATGAAGGACTTAAGGTCATTTGTTTTTGTTGTGGTTGTTTTGGCCATTGGCAAGAGAATTGCCTATAGGAAAATGAGGAAGACCATTCACACCAAACCATACCAGCAACTGAAATGCAAGCACATTCGAACTACCAAAATATAGGAAAATAGAGATCCACTAACTAAGGTGGCAAATGAGACATGTAACCAGTCACTCAAAAAATATAAAGGCTCAAAACAGGAGCTAGAGAATGGGCTTCAAATAACTAATGGGACTAAACAACATTCACACATAGTGGTACAAGTGAACTTAAGCATAACAATGGGCAACCTTGGAATGCAATGCGTTCAAAGTGCTGAGTCAAATAAAAACACATCACTTGCCATTGTGCCACTAGTAGATAGCCTCTCACTTGATTCTCCTAATCTTGACCCAATATGGTAGAGCCCCCCAAATGTGAAAGCAATGAAAGAAGCTAAGGAAAGTGCATTAATCGCTTGGAAGGAGTCTATCTTAGGATTGCCACAAGACAACATGTCTTGATTTGGGTATGTCATTTCCCAATCCTATTTATATACCATTGTTTTTATGATTGTGGCAGGCTAGAATTGTAGAGGAGTAGGCACACAAACTATTCCTAAACTAGTTAAATAAATATTTTAGAAGTATAGAATAGACATCCTTTGTCTTCTTGAGCCCCACATTAGTGGGATGAAAGTTGATTTTGTGTATAGGAAATTGGGTTTTATGAATTAGATTAGGGTAGAGGCATCAAGTTTTATTAGTGTCATTTAGGTACTATGGAATGTGTATGTGTCTAAGGTTGAGTACATCTCTTCATCTACCTAGATATTACACTGAAGATTAACTAATTTGTTCTTGGCTGCAAGGTTCTTAGCTTCCTTTGATTGTGGAGAACCTTCAATTGTAGGTCAACAGTCACTGTAGGACATTATCAGATCACTCTTTATTTCCATATTAGAGCCTTGGCTTTTGTTAGGAGATTTCAATTCCTATTTAAGTTTGGAGGATAAGAATGGGGGAGCAGCTCTAAATTTTGCTTCCATATGGGAATTTCAGGATTGTATTATTGATTCTCGACTACAAGAACTTGTTGTGGTCAGAGATAGATACACTTGGGAAAGACAACATGTGAAGGAGCACCTAGATTGGGCATTTTGTAATTATAGTGAGAAGAGATGTTTGACCAATAAAATTTTTTTTATCTTTGTTTTAAATCTGATCATAAGGTTATCATTATGACCAAGGGTGCTATCAACTTGAATAATACTCGTGGATGAAGGCCTTTAAAGTACCAAGCACCGTGGCTTTTAGAACATGAATTCCAAAATTTGGTAGATCAAGCCTGGAAGAACTCTTCTTGGACAGATAGGGTTCAAAACTTCACAAGCTTAAATGCAAGTCACAGTATCCCTTTTGAAAAAAAGAAGATTCTAAATAGACTTGAAGGGATTGATAGATCTCATAGTCATAATGATTGGAATAGACTTCAAAGAATAAAAAAAGGACTCTGGAATGAGTACTTTCATCTTGCTAGCCAAGGGGAGCTTATATGGTTCTGAAAATCTAGGTGCAGATGGTTATAGGGAGGAGATCAAAATACACGTTTCTTCCACGCCTCCATAAAGGTTAGGTGGAGAAAAATACCATTGAGTAACTTTATCAAACCAAAATTCACCTTTAAAGAGCTTGGCATAAAGTTGTTGCTCTCTTAACGTTTGTAAAACAAGCCGAAAGTGATGTTCATGCTCTGCTGGGTTCTTTGGATATATCAAAATATCATCCATGAAAATGATCATGAAATTATGAAGGAATGGTCTAAACACTCAATTCATCAAATCCATGAATGCTGCTAGTGCATTAGTTAACTCAAATGACATTACAAAAAATTCACAGTGATCATATCAGGTTCTAAATGTAGTCTTAATTATATCCTCCTTGATTTTTAACAGGTGATAACCCAAATGCAAATCTATTTTAGAAAAACATTGAGCTCCTTGCAACTAATCAAAAAGATCATCGATTCAAGGTAGTGGGTATTTATTTTTCATTGTCGCCTTTTTAAGTTGCTAATAATTGATGAAAAGTCTTAATGACCCATCCTTTTCTTCACAAAGAGCATTAGTGCTCCCTAGGGAGATGTGCTAAGTCAGATAAACCCCTTATCTAATAATTCTTGAAATTGAGTTTTCAGTTCTCTCAGTTCAAAAGGTGCTATTTTGTAAGGCATAATAGAAATTGGTTGAGTATTCGAAACTAAGTCAATAGCAAATTCAATTTCCCAATCAGGTGGCAGTCTACGTAATTCTTTTGAAAAAATATCAAGAAATTCTCAAACGACTAGAATTTGATCCAAACTAATGGTAGACTTCTCAATGTTCCATACCATAGCTAAGAACCCTTAACAACCTTTCACTAGTAATCGTTAGGCTTTCAAAGCTAAAATAAAATTTGTAGGTCTTTCTATAAAACTCCCTTGCAATACATAGGGAGTTTCACCTGAAATATCAAATTTCACCACTTTCAAGTAGCAATCCATGGTAGCATAATGAGAAGCTAACCAATCCATGCCCAAAATTACATCAAAATCAATTATATCAAGCATCATTAAATCAATAAGAGTTTCTCTACCCTCAAGAGACACTTCACAAGACTTATATACATAAGAACCAATCAAAGATTCCCCTATTGGAGTACCAACTACAAATGAATTATCAAGTTTGGTAAGTTCTTTACCCAATCTCTTAGCAAAATAAACACACATATGAATGAGTTAATGCAAGATCAAATAATGCATAAGCATGATTAGAACACTTAGTTATAATACCTGTAACAACAGCATTTGAAGTTTTAGCATGTTGCCTCGTCATAACATAAACTCTCACTTATTGTTGCCCTAAAGAAGACTGTCCTCACTTTCCTTTCCTCTTTCGAACCCACCTCTATTGACTAAAGTAGAAGCGACCCTTGTAGATGGGACTGAAGATGAAATAGGATGAGAAGGAGGTTGAACTAATCCATGGCTTGACATAGACTGGAGATATGGACAATTCCTTTTCAAATGGCCTATTTTCCCACACTCAAAGCATGCGCTAGACACTCTATGGTACGATCCCGAATGGTACTTCCCACAACTAGCACAAGAAACTCTAATGTAACTGATTGATTTGAAATTGACTAGGCTCGAGGTCTAACATTACTAGAATTAGATCTCACAATAGGAGTACTCATTGATGGTGAACCATATGACCTAGGTCCAGATTGCTTGGCACGAAAGTGAGATTGAGTTTAAAATTGATGACTCTTGGGGGAAGAATCGGGAAATTTCTCATTGTTCTCTCCCTTACATTTCTTGGAAATTGCTTCCTTTATCTTATGTCAATTTTTGATTCTTAATATGCTATCAACAATCTCGGCATAGGTAACGTCACAATCCAACATAGGTGCTATATTATCATGTATGTCTACTGGCAATCTATACACAAACTTGCTAATCCATTCCCTTTCAGTTAGTATAATGTGAGAGGAAAAAGAAGATAATTCTATAAACCTCTTATCATATTCTACTATTGACATTCCCTTACTTCACTTTAGAGTCAAAAACTCTTCAATTTTGAGTCACTAGTACTTTAAGGCATATCTCAATTTAAAAATGTAGTTTTAAACTCTTCCCAAGTCAAAGAAGGTACCCTAGTTGCATGTAGACCTAGGACTATCTTTTTGCCCAAGTACTTGCTACTCCTTGAAGTTGGAACACTGCAAATTCAACATACTGAGCATCAGGGCATCTCAAGGCCCTACATCTCTTCTCAAGCCCTTCAAGAGATTCAATTGGGTCCTCTCATGTATTGGTTCTCGAAAAGGATGGTGGACTTAGTTTCATAAATTTTGACAGCTTAACTACAGGATTTTCCTCTTACATATCATGTTTCGAAGGTGTAGTCTGTTCCTCAGACAAAGAACTTACTCATTCATCCCTAGAAGGAATATCTTGAAGGGGCTTAAGGGTTTGACCACCCTTAGTCCTAATCTTATTCTGATGTCATCCCCTACCTCTCAAGGGCACATCATTTGTTGAAGAAATTCTATTAGAAGCCCTGCTACTAGTAAAACTCCTAATAGATATTCAACATTTAGGTGGCTTATTTCACTATATAAAAAAATAAAAGAAATATTTACTTCAAAATACAATTCTATATTGAAAAAGAAATTAATAACAAGAAACAAATGAAATTTGAAAACTACCTATAGAACTTTCAATGATGCATCAATTATTATTATGCCCGGGTTCATAATGATAATTGAGACCCCAATGAAAAATTCTTGCTCCATATAGCTATATAAAAACCTCGGCTCTAATATCAAAACTGTCACGCCCTAAAAATAGAGGGTGACCGACACGGGTGTGAACTATATCGCACATTCTTGTAAGCTTTAAAATGAAAATTGATTTCATTTTAAAGAAAAAATTGATTAGGTTACATGAAATTTCTAACACTTTTAACACTATTGGCATAGCAAAGCTTTGATGTTTTTGAAGAAATTTTGATAGAACCTTCTCTGTAAATAGAATCTCCTAAAAATTCTACAACACAAAAATTTTCAAAGAATATAGTATCAGTTAGAAGCTTAGCTCCTTCCACCTAGCAAACAATATACAAATCAAAATAAAGTCCAAACAATAATCTATGTGGAGCAATTAATCTTTCTTCTAAATTTAAAATATATGAATTTGAAATATTTACATCAAAAGTAAAAATACCAAGAAAAACTTTCCACCCAGTATAACTGTATTGCCTTTTCAGAGGTCGATAGTAGGATCAACGTCTGTTAATAAATCTTAGACAAAAATAAATTTTTTAATGAATAGCATCCTCAAGATAGAGTTTTAAAAAATTAAAATACTAAATTCAAATAATCATGTAAGATAATTGAAAAGATAATAATTCAACATAATAACTTCATAAATCTGTAAATCATAATCATAACCATAAAATGAGGGTGAAATAGGGAGCACTTTATTCTATCATGCTTCTAGAAAATAAATTACTCATACATAAATCAAAATAATACACTTGTTAATTGAAACCATTAGAATTTGAATGAACAAATTAATCAAGACTTAAAAATTTGAGGATTTAATAGAATAGGTAATAAATGTGGACACACAATCCATGAGAGTAAACAACCAAACGTAGCTTATGCCATGAAAACAAACGTGGACACACAGTCCACGAGGGTAAATAATCAAACGCAACCTGACCTATCAAATAAACGTGGACACATAGTTCATGAGGGTAATGATAACCAAACATGACTCGAAGCCATGAAATCAAACGCAAGTTTTAAACCCATGAATAACAAATGTGAGGACATGACTCACAAGACAAACTAGCTAGTTATTAACTACAGTGCGCTACGGGCTAATGGAATTACTGTTAGTAGCAGTATTCTGTTTAGAATCCCTTCCAAAATTATTTTCAAACATGTGAAAAAATTACCACTATAAAAACATGACTTTCATTCTCAAAATCAAACTCACATGAATAGTTTTAAGTTTCAAAACTTACCAAAATAAAATTTCATAACTAATATATGATCTTGCATTAATTAAATAACCAAGAAGTTCCAAATTTTGATAAACAAGGATGCCTTCATCCATCTTGAAAATATAGTTCTTGAGGGAAAATAAACGCATATCTTATAATTCAATTATCCTTCATCATTGTTCCATAAACTTTAAAACCAAACTAATACAAAAAAAAATGTTCCATTAAAAGACTATTAATGAATAATTAAATGAGATGCTATTCACTAACTCGTCAAAGTTTCAAATTCTCCGAAGATATTCTTCCTTTAATTCTTGTCAGGATCTTCTTCTTCCACACACCCTATAAGGATATAAATAAATCTAATTTTAATAAATTTTAATTTATTACACAATTTCAACCAACCATCATCCTCTAAAATTTAAAAACTAAATTTATGCTTTAAAAATGGTTCTAGTATTATCATTTATATCATTAGTTTTCTCCAATATGCTTCTGTCAAAACAATCCACTTACTTGAGGCAAATTTTTTTCCTAAGCTTTACACCAAACACCTTAGGTGCCTTAATTTCAATCATTCAATTAAAATATCCAAAAAAATCCACCAATCACCATACAAGTTTCAAGTATTTAGATAGCTACATACAAGCTCATTCTCAAATTACTTTGCAAATTTACAAGTTAATTCCTAAAACAATCACTTCTATACCAACACATTTCTCACAAGAACCAATAAAATTTTAAAGTTAAGTTCAAAGTTCAAAAAACTCATAGATACCAATATTTAAGTTATATCTAAGTTATTCTCTTCCAATTTCATTCTAACAATTGCATCAACGTCAACCGTCCCAAGCAAATTAATTTAAATCCAGAATTATGACACGCACGCACGCACGCACGCAAATTTCAAGCTCAAATTTGAATCTTCTCCTGCCTATAACAATATGGGCAGCAGCAGAAACACTCACAAAATTTTCGTAATTTCAGTCATCAATTCACACACTCTCTCTCGCACAGGTTCACCTAGGAAGAATGATGAAGAGTTCTCACCTCAATCACCAATAACAGCAAAGGAGGGAGAGATCAAGAAGCTGCCGATAGAATAAGGAGAGAAGACAGGATTTTCGTCTGAACAAGGAAGAGGAAGACAGAGCAACACTCGAAAGAGAGAAAAAGAACAGACTCAGCATTAGATCAAGCTCGTGATCAGTACCCAGCTTCGGCGACCTGATTTCTTCCATCGATCAATGACTCAAATATGAACAAGGTAGAACAGCAACCAAGGAAAACAAACAGAGATGGAAAGCACAAAGAAGAACCTGAACGTGTAAGAGCAGCGACGATCCTTCAGTTTCACCAATGATGAGAATAGAACGAAGGAGAGGAAGACGATGGACAGAGATTTTTGGGTCTGAACTTCGAAGCTACAGAGACGAATTTTCTAGCCCTCACTTCAGCTCTGCACTCATGTATTAGAACGAGAAGAGAAATAATAATTAAATTGAAGGGAGGGCAAATTGGTAATTTGGGACAACTTGGAACAAAAATAAATCCCATTTTACATACCTGGAACTTTAATAATAAATGAGTAATCACTTTACCAACACTTCATATTGTTATAATTATTTTAAGAATTAATATAATTATTATTAAAATACAATCTTATATATTTAATTATTATTTTTTTTTCTGAATTATTACGGTAAAATACCCTAAAATCATACAAAAGTGTGCTGTTTTGTCGTTATAAAATATATCATTTGATGCAGAATCTACTAATCAAAAGAACCAAGAAAAAACAATTGGAAACATAGCGCATCATTACAAGGAGCATTAGAGGGCAAGGCGTGAAAGGGTCTAAGCTCGGATTATTGGCATATATCAATATTAATAAATCAATTTATTTATCATTGTTTATTTACTGTATTTTATTAAACATTATATTGTGCATAATACATAAGTAAAGTTTCTCAATAATTTTTCACGAAAGTTTAATTAATATTATTGTTGTAGTCAAAAGACCTTCCACATAGAGATTTTGTTGTAATTATTCCAGGAACTGAAATACCACCATGGTTTCCAAACAAAGATGATTCTCATCCAAATGATGCTCATGGATTAGAAAATGTATTTATAAGAGTGGACATCCCTCAACATTTTCAGGCAAGTGAATGGTCTGCAATAGCTCAATATGCTTAAGCATAGCGAGTCCTTTGACCAGCCTTATTTTTTTTGACAAAAAAGGAGTCAATTTTATTAATCATCAGAAAAATAGTACACACACTAATCAGAGAAATAAAAAAAAAAGAAAGCTATAAAACCTAGGTACAACCTATAAGAAAGCAATTAAAACTAGATAAAACCTATGAGAAAGCCATTTAAACTAGATACAACCTACTAAAAATAGAGAAAAAAGGAATCAGAGACATATCAGCAAAATCAACCAACACTAACCTTCACTTGACCACTTGCAACTTTAGTAGAAGTCAAATTTCTGCTTTTCTTCAAATCTGCCAAAAGAATATCAAATAAAGGAGTTGTTGCTATTTCCAGCCACCCATGAGGTCCTAACCCCTTATTACCTTTAGTTGCTAGCATGTCTGCAGCTTTATTTCCTTGTCTAGCCACCAAGGAAAAACGAACCCAAGGCATTGATTCTCTGAGTTGCAAAATATCAGAAACCAAAGTGTTTTGCCATTCGCAACATTCAACAGAATTAGCACTGATGCAATTAAACAAAACTTCACAATCTATTTCAATACAAATTCATTTACTTTCAAAATTAATATTGCATAAGAGTAAACCTTCTCGAATAGCCAACCCCTCTGCCATGAATGCTGTAGAGGCCAAAATTCTTCTACTAATCCCACCCAAAAATTTACTGTCTACATCTCTACAAATAATTCCCAATCTAGCACTACCACTAGAACTAGCAAAGGCTCCATCAACATTAATCTTTACCTTATCTATATTCGGTGGTCTCCAGCATTCAATTCTATTAATTCTAGCTTTAGTAGGCTTCTTGACAGACTTCTCCTCTATACTTCTAGCCCTCCAACATTCATCAACTAAAGCAGCAGCAACTTCTACAGCCTTTATAGAATTAACATTTGTAGCATTAAAGACCCAATTACATCTTCCTTTCCAGATACCCCAACAAGTAGCAGCAATTAAAGCTTTACCTGATTCCTCCATGTATTTGTTTGCAACTAACATATCCTCAATCCACTTGTCAAAATTTTGAGTATTATCATTGTTAATAACCAGAGTCAGTCGACCATCATGCCAACATCTATTTGCCCATGAGCAAAAAAGCAACATATACTCAATAGACTCAACTTCTTCATTACAAATAGGACATAAAGGATCTTTAGCACATTTTCTCTTAAAAAGAGCTTCTCTAGTTGCAACTGCTTCATTAACCAACCTCCACAAAAATTGTTACACTTTTGGAGGAACTTTCAAATTCTAAATACTCTACCACACTTGTCTAGGTAACTAATAAGAATTACTTGAATTCTTATTAACCACTTCCTTGTTGAGCCCTTTTGCAATAAAATATCTAGACTTAATAGTGTACTTCCCATCTTTAGTAAATTGCCAAATCAACAAATCATCATTCTGACCTCTGGAAATAAAAATTTCTCAAATAGCATCAGCTTCCTCCTACTAATTCGATTTCGAATGAGGCTTAGATTCCAAAAACCATTTTCAATCAACTTATCAACTATCAATTTCTTTTCTATTGCACTCAACTGATTTGAAGATAGACAAGCTTTTTCCAAGCTGGGAATCCCCCTATCATCCCATACCTTCACCTTTGTCCCACTCCCAACACTCCAATACAATCCTTCCTCTAACTAATTTCTACCTTTCATAATGCTACTCCATACCCAATATGCTTTCCTTCCCAACTCAGCTTGCATAAAATCTAATTTTAGAAAATAAATTCCTTTTAAAATCTGACACCAAAGATCACTTGGATTTTGCAAAATTCTCCATGCAGTTTTAGCAAGAAGAGCCTTGTTAAAGGCCTAAAAGCTTATAAAACCCAAACCTCCATCAACTTTAGCCTTTGATAAATCCTTCGACTTCTTCCAATGAATCTTCCTACCTTCATTCTCATTTTGCCCTTACTAGAAATCAAAGATAATTCTATCAAGGTCCTTACAAGCCTTCTTTGTAAAAGAGAAGTATGTCATAGGATATACCGGAATGGAGTTAGCCATTGCTTTTATTAAAACTTCCTTACCAACAAAGGTGAGAAATTTTTGCTTCCAGCCTTGCAATTTCATATGAATCTTTTTCTTTACAAAAGATAGTGTAGTAGTTTTTGATTTACCCCACAACACAGGTAAACTAAGGTAATTTCTAAGATTTACTATTACTTCAATCCCCAGCACCTCCTCAATCTCCTTCACTACTTCAAGTAGCATATTTGGTGAAAAGAAAACATAGGATTTATCAAGATTCACCTCCTGTCTAGATGCAGCACAATAAAGATCCAGAATCTTCTTTAAAATCAGGCATTCCTCTTTTTGTGTTCTCACAAAAAAAATGCATCATTTATAAAAAAAAACAATGAGAGAGAATAGGAACACCCTTAGACAATTTGATTCCCTTCAATTCCTTCCTTCCCACATGATATTGCAGCATTACTGAAAGCACATCAGCTGCTAATATAAACATATAAGGAGATAATGGATCTCCTTATCTTGCTTCTCTCCTTGGCTTGATATTTGCCACATTTCTTCCTGAAACGGTAAGCTCAAATTCTATTAAAGTTATGCATTCCATTATCCAAGCAACCAAACATCTACTAAATCCCATTTTCAACATCACTTCCAGTAAGAATTGCCAATTGACTCTGTCATATACCTTACTTAAGTCAATCTTCAAAGCTAATTCAGCTCTAGTACCCTTCTTCCTTATCTTCAGATGATGGAATGCTTCATGAGCAATTATGATGTTATCTTGGATTTGCCTTCCTGCAACAAAGGCTCTTTAATGTGGAGAATGCATCTACTCATCACTTTTCTCATCCTTGCTATCAAAATTTTAGCAATGAAGTTATATGATACATTGCATAATCCAATTGGCTGGAATTGACTCACTAATTCAAGTTTGGGAATTTTTGGAATAAGAACAATATTTGTCTTATTCATACTTCTCAAATCTACATGATTCATAAAAAATTCTTCCACCATATCACAAACCTCCTCTTTAACTTCCTCCCATACCGATTGATAAAACAAGGCTGCATATCCATTAGGCCCTAGTGCCTTTGTTGCACCAAGATCAAAAACAACCTCTTCAATTTCTCTGTCAAAAACAGGTCTAGTCAAAACTTCATTATCTTCCTCAGTCACAACTTTTTCAACATATTGCATAACTTCTTCCATATTTTTTGCCTTAGAGCTAGCAAACAAAATAGAATAAAATTTCTAAATTCATCATTTATTCTATCAGTGTCTTCAATCCATATTCCCTCCTCATTTTTCAATTGCAACACTTTATTTCTAGCTCTTCTCTATATAATTGTGTTACCAAAGAATTTTATATTTCTATCTCCATGCTTAATCCAATTCAACCTTGATTTTTGCCACCAAAATAATTCTTCTCTATCCCAAGCATCTTCAATTTCCCTTACCAACTCTTCAACTTTAATGGCTTTTTCTTCAATCAGTACTCCACTCTTACACTCCTCTAACTTTCTTCTCAATTCATCAATAATTTTTCTATTATTTGAAAATTCTTTTTTGGTCCTTTCCTCTAACCTTCTTTTACAAGTATTCAATCTTTAAATCAGTCCAACGACTTTGCTTGCTCTATTTCCATCTCCTTTCCTCCATCCTTCCTTCACAATTCCCAAATAATTCCTATGACTGACCCAAACAGTATCAAATTTGAACATTTTTAGAATTTTCATATCCTAAAAACAACAATCAATTACAATAAGATGATGGTCAGAACCAATTGGTTCACAATGAAATAGCAAAGCTTTTGGGAAATAAACTCTGAATTCAACATTCCCCAATCCTCTATCAATTCTCTCTTTAATATTTTCTTGTCCCAATCTATTGTTACACCATGTGTACTTTGGCCCATGAAACTCCAAATCAATCAAATTACAGTAAAAAATCATTTTTTAAAAATTCAACATCTTCTTTGCAGCTCTTGGTTTCCCACCTAACTTTTTCATCCTATGAAACAAGGTCATTGAAGTCCCCAACACATAACCAAGAACCATTTATACCTCTTGCTATTGCATGCATCTTGTTCCAAAAATCGGTCTATCTCTCATCTTTGTTGGCCTATACACACAAGTGATAAAAGAAGGAACATTTAAAACTATAGAAGATAGCTTGAAATGAATAATATTCCTTGATTTAAACAACACATCAACATCAACTTCATCTTTCCACCATAATGCCAAACCACCTGATAAACCATCAGG